CTACAGAGATGACTCGTGAAAAAAAAGAAGACAAGGAGGCACACACTACTACGAGCCGAGCCCGGCCGGCTGGGGATGACGCTGGTAACCGCTTCTTCCTCGCGAGAACCTCGGCAACGCGACGTGTTGGAATCGGGTGAAAGTGAAGCGACGGCTGCGACGACGACGACGACGACGACGAGCGAACGATCATCGCGGCGTTGAGAGGTGCAACGATCGGTAGTCGGCTCGATAAAATCAATCACGTCTTCGACACTTTTGCAGCCCGAGTCAGACCGTACGACTCCATGTTCGTTATGTTAATTACGTTCATCTCAACACGGATAGGTTACTCCTCGATGATGACTCTCCGAAATATCCGCGTTTTCGGGACGACCTTGACTCGAGGCTACGAGCTTCTTGTCTACGAGGCAGCCAGGACCGTTTCTATAAACGGCACTTTATGTAATCGAATAGCAGCACTATTCTGCAAGTCTATGCATTTTATATACCATGACCGCTTCGATATTCCTATGAATATTCATGTAGCGGGAGAAGGTTGCCGCGCGAAATTCCGCCGTACGTTTCCACGGTTTTTATAGCGTACATTCTCGGCGAATGAAGTTGTCTCGTAAAAAGAGAAGCGACACCTTTATCCTCGATCCTTCGCAGATCGAGCTGTAAGGATCTATGATAAACTAAAAAAAGAAAAGAAAGAAGAAGAAGGAGAAGAGGCGGCCCAACCAATCGGGCCTCGGTCACAGGTCGACTATGGCTGTGTTCCGATATACACTGCCGGTATTGGCAGTACTGAAAAGTTCGTTATTAGCGTACAATGCACTGCAGCAGCATCTAGTTCTATTAATGACGTCATAAATGACAACCATATTGCCACTGCGACTATTGCAGCTTATGAGGTGAGACAGTCGCAGTGCAATATGGTGTCGAGTAAAGAAATTAAAAAAATAGACTTAATAGATGCAGAAACTAATCAATTATATGCTATACATGCAAAGAAGAAAGATGCACAGTATAAAGAAAAAATAGGTTTATTGAAAGATATAAGAAATTTAATACAAGAACCGTTAAAAAAGGAATAACAGTGAACAGTTTAAAAGTAAAATAAGAAAACACTGAAAATGAAAAAAAAAACACTGAAAATGAAAATTAGAGTTTCTATATGACGCAATTATATATAAAATGTAGTGTTATATGCGTTACGTTCGATTTTATTTTTGTTAGAATTTTTATTTCTCCATTTTAACATTATCGATTTATTAATATTTATATTACATATCCTTAGTTTATATTACATATAGATAATTAATACGAGGTCGAATTGTTTGTATTGGTGACAATAATTCTATTACATCTTCATCAGAAAAACTGTTACTGCTTTCATTTTTTTAACATTTCTAATGCAATTAAGCACAATGCAAATTTTATTTGTCCATAGTGTTTGTTAGAATTCCGGTTAAATTGCTGTAACAAAAAACATATTCAAGCTTGCTCGGAAGTAACCTGTGATTTCTTTGGAAACTGGATTATTTACAAAAAATAATTATTATATTAATCGCAAGAATATTATTCATCTATCATTAATTTAGAATTTAACCTATCAATGTCGATTATGTAAGTATATATATAAATCAACCAAACTAAACAAAAATGAAACAAAATTAAGATTAAACCATATAAATCACTAGAATATATATATAATTAAATTTAATACTTACTAATTAATGAAGAAGCGTTAGCGATAACTCTTTATCAATTCTTAAGGCCAGATATTGAAAGAGAGAGAGAGAGAGAGAGAGAGAGAGAGAGAGAGAGAGAGAGAGAGAGACTGTTATAGTGCACTGCGACTACTGGAATACTGTTCCGAAATGCGACGTCACAATTCTACTGCCAGCACTAAAACAATTTTGGAACGGCAGTGTACTGTAATGACGTCATTTCGGTAGCACTGCCAGTAAAAACAGAACACAGCCTATAAACGCAAATATAAGACCAGGCTAATTTCGTCGGAGCTGCTCGATTGTAACTCATCAAACGCGTCAACTAATAGAATTAAAAGCTATTAGCTCCTAATTGATATTTATTGTTCCACTTAATACCGATATATGAAAGTAGGTTTCATTAGCGACGTCATAAATCTCGGCACCGGAGACTTCAACGTGAATACAAAAGCCACTTCCACCATGTGTCCCGTGCGTGTTTCCCAACTGGGCACGCTCGACAGTAATCGAGATTACTTACAACGTCGACCAAAGGAGGGAGAAAAAATGAATGTGACAAAAGAAACAGAAGCGATAATGTTATCTGGCCGAAAGGTCACTCGCTAAAATTCTGACAAATGACGATTTAAAGTCCGCAGCGGGTTTATTTACGCCAAGCATCGCGCTTGATTCGGACTGTTAATAACGTCGACTGTTCTCGCCGGAAGAAGTTCATTTCGTTCGCGCGCAAAACTGAAAGAATTCAGCTCGCTCTAGGAAGAGAAAGAGGAGGAGAAGGAAGAGAGAGAGAGAGAGAGAGAGAGAGAGAGAGAGAGAGAAGAGATAAAAGCGGTGGAGGAGGAGGAAGAGGAGGAGAAGGAGGGTATGAAGAGGGAGGGGGGAAGGGGAGGAAGAGGAGGTGGAGGAGGAGGAAGAGGAGGTGGAGGAGATGGGGAAGAGGGAGAAGGAAGAGATTCGTCGAGGTAAGACATTCTCTTGCGTACGCTTGGCGCGCCGAAGAAGAGCCGCGAATCCGCTTCGCTAACGAGCGGCGGTTTCGGTGCCGGAACCCGGCAGGAGCGATAGGTAACTAAACTCGTATTACCGATTCCGCGGCGGTTAGGTCGAGCGTTCGCTCGCACGCTCGCTCGCTCGCTCGGGGCCAAAGAAATCGGTACAAAGATTGATGCTCGCGGCGCGTTTCACTCTCGCGGCCGGTAGCAGTCTTTATCGGGAGACGACGTCGTATAAACGCGGCGTACTTTTCGTGACGATTAGCGGGGATGACGGTGCGTTATGCCGACAAAAGCGCGAACGATGGTTTACCGCTGCTCGTCGGGGTGTACGACGAGCCGGCGGAGAGAAAAGGCGGCGGCGATCCTGAATAGAGCCGATAAGGAGGTGGCTGGCAAGGAGCAAGGTGAGACGACGCCGACGCGCGAGGTGTACCTCGTTAATTGGCGACAATTAACAGGACGAGCATGCGACTGGCTACCGGAGCCCGGCTCTCGAGCGCGATATGAGCGCGCGGCCGCGCGCGCGCGCGCGCGAAAAGGCGCCGGTCACTCTCTTTCACGCAGGCTTACGCAAGAAGAAGCAGAAGCAGACGAGGAGAGGAGGAGAGAGGAGACGAAGCCGCTTTCGAAGCGGCCGATTTCCGCGACTCCATTTATCAGAGACGCGCTGCTCGATCGCACGCACGCGGGGATCCGCGTCATGCGATGTGTGTGAGCGACGACGGTTCTCTTGGAAGCGAACCCCGGCGACGCACCGCGCCGCGTTTCTTTTTTTTTTTTTATCGCGCGAATAACAATTACACGTGTGCGCGTATGCGCGTGCGCGCGCGCACATCATGTTCGATAACATCCTGTCGGGATTCGTGCGACGGGATTGAGGTTGAAACTCACGGGCCATCTTTTTGTACCCTTCCAAGTGTTCCAAGCGTTCGCGGTACCGACGTCACCGACGTCGACGAGAAAACACGAGGCGTTTTCGTGGCGTTGATATCGCGATGTCTGTGATTGTTCTGCGCGCGACGCAACTACCGCTTTTATTTTTACTTCACCGCGGCTACTGCGATTATTAACTGCTGCTTATCAACGATATAGAATTCGGACTGATTATCGATGCGTTGACGCAGAGGAGTATCGTAGGTGCGACGAGGGCGCAGGAACCGCGTTGGAAATGCACGAGATTACTTTCTGATTTATATAACGCAACGTAACACAAGAAGCCGAGAAGAAGAGTTGTCAAGCCGAGTTACGGATGTATCGCCTTCACGGACAAATGTGCCGAGGAAGATGGGACACGGTTCCCGGGGCAGTTTCGAGGGCGAAAATTTCATCTGAATGGAGGGAAGGAGGACCAGAAGTCCCTCCGAATGAATGACCGGAAGGCGTGTCAGGATAATCGTTAACCTAAAATCTGGCCGGAGAATGAGTAACATACCGATTCACCGTGGTTTCTTCTCCTCTCCCATCTCTCCGACGATCTCCCACGTCCGCGGTGATAATTTCTAAATTTTCGTCGTTCGAACACGCCTTCATTTAAAGCGTCGTTAACACTGCAGGCAATTAGCGCGGCATGTTTAATATCATTATATCATCGAAGGTCGTAAAAATTTTTCTTTTTTGCAGAATATGCTAATCTGATGCATCTCAAATACTGGAGGGCTTTGAAAGTTTCTTACATCACAAAAAGGTTTCGTGGGATCTTCGATCGTTTAAATTAGTCAAGTGTTGTTAAAGCCGGTGGTCTCCGGTCGCTTTCGCAAATCTGCGATACATGTAGCGCTTTTTCAACATTACGTATAAATGTTATTTAATTTAAACGAAAGTTGCAGAAGACGCAGAGCTGCGCCATGTTAATTATCCTGTTAGTTGTGTATTTAAGGAGCCTATTAAAAAACCCCATAAAGCGCGAAATGTGATCTTTTTCAAGTGGCAAGATGCAATAATAACAAAAGGGGGAGGAAAATACAAGAATAATTGCTCGTTTGAATAAATCTGTGGAACCCTTCGCCCAAGAGGGACAACAATTAGAACAAGGAACAAAGTGTAAAAACACACAGAGAATGAAGGCCATCATGTTCGATAACATCTCCTCGTAATCCGCTAGCTAGCTACCTGGAGTCCATAAATCGACAATCGTGTCAGCACCGTTGTCCCATTTTGTACAGCCTCAGTAAAAAAGGAGGAAAAATTACAGAACTGAGAGTCCTTATCCCCCTCGCCGCGGGTAGCCAATCATTCCTCTGAGCGTGTTTACACCGCACTGTGTTATAGAGAAACCTCCTCCGCTTACCTTTTTCCGGCGTACCCTCGTCGTATGTCTCGCGTGTTGCGTGCTGTCCACGGACGGTATCCCTTGGACGTCACTTCTACGCCGTCGGTATTCACGTGGCTGTTTCTGGAAGGTCCTCTTCTCGACTCCCCCTCCTTCCTTGTCTCTTATTCTGCTCTTATCTGGTCTCCCGTCAGCGTCACTCGCGAATCATTCCGAGAATTTCCCGCAAGCGAGTCACACCGGAGGTGTCGGGACTACTACGTACTCCGCGAACGCATCCGCGATATACTTGCTGCTGGTCGCGGATGATGCGACAATTACGTGAGCAAGAAGGACACGACGTCGGCTAAAGCACCCTCGTGCCTGTTGATAAAGGAACCCGATGCAGCGGGATCCGCGAGGTGTCCGCACGTCGATGTGACTATCCTCCCTCGGGGCTAACCCGTTCCAAAGGAACAACGACGCGCGACAGGGGGTGAGAGGCGGCGGGAGGGCGAAAGCTCTTCTTCTGGAGGTGCCACCACGCCGTTGAACGTGGAGCAAAACGCCGTCGCCGTCGTCGTAGCTCTACTACTCACTTCGCGTCCGTCTCACGCGCGCGAGCGAGCGATACCTCGGCGGATGGGTGCTCTCTCTCTCAACTCCTGTGGCGGCGGCGGCAGCGGCGGCGGCGGCGGCGGCGGCGGTGGCGGCGGCGGCAGCGGCGGCGGCGGCGGCGGTGGCGGTGGCGGCAGCGATGGCGACGATCGTCGTTGCTTCGTGGTACCGCCGTTCGGTGGCGTTGATCCTCCGCGTCCTGAATCCTCCTCTACCCTCGCTTCCCTTCCCGTCTCCTCCACCACCTCCACCACTTTTCCCTTTCCTCGCGACCCCCACTGCTGTCGTCGACGAGCCTCCAAACTGGCCTGCGTCTCTCCCTGTAACCTGCACATGCTCTGTTCTGCTCCGGGAACCCTGCCGTCGCGCATCTGCCTGTGTGTCTGTAACAACGAGGGAATACACAGTGGCGCGGCCAGTCAGAGAGAGAGAGAGAGAGGGAAGGAGGCAGATAGGTGGGTACCGCAGAATCGACGAGCGGGGAGACCCCCCGAAGATGTAACGTTGTGCATGGGGGGAAACAGGCTACTTGCGATATCGCGTGTATGTGTGGCTTCGAGAGTGAATGCGCTATGGCACATTGACAAGATTCGACTCGCTTCTGGGACACACACACACACACGCATACACATGCACACGTGCGAGTGACTCTCGCCGACATAGTGTGAGAGAAGACGCGCGTACATGTGTGGTCCTGGATTCGTCCTGCCCTCGACGCGCGTTCCCCGCTACCGACGACATCTTCTATCTCGCTCTCTTCGAAGTGCGACAAGGACGTTTGTGCATGTGCGTTCGAGGACCGGTGGGGGTTACCACCCGTACACACACACACACACACACTCACGGAAGAAACTCGCTACCGAACACGCGTACACGCGGCTGTTTCCGGAGGGGGTGTGTTCGCGCGAGTACTCGCGCACACGCCAAGTTCCTGGATCGTCGTCCTGCCTTCGATGCACTCCCTGTTACCACCTCCCCTGAAAGGCATCCCACTACCACCGCCTCGTTCACCAAGTATACCGCGAACGCGAGTGGGTTGGTAGGTAGACAGCGGGAGGGAGCAGAGAAATAGCGAGAGGTCCGCGAGAGAGTCTGCTCTTTCTCTCTCTCTCTCTCTCTCTCTCGCGCGCGCGCGCGCGCGCGCGCTGTATCTTCTTTCTCTCTTTCTGCGCCCCTATCTTCCCGTCTTAGCCTTGCTATCATTATAAATAAGCTCTGTCTCGATGATACATACGCGTACACGCGTGCAAGAGGGAGACACATAGGACTGCGCAGTCTCCCCTCTTTCCCTCGCCCTCCCTCCCTCTCTCTCTCTTTCCTATTCTCGCCATCTTACCCTCCTCATCCCTCCCTCATATCCCCGTCCTCACCCTCTTCACGGCTAGATTCTATCTCGATGAAACACACGTGTATCCCCGCGCGCGCGCGCTCGTATGTGAGCGGAGGAACGTGCTCGACGTATGGGGAAAAAGAAGAGCTCCGATGGAGGCCGAAGGGCGAGTCAACGTACGAGCTCTCAACTTGCCCTCATGTTCTCTCTACCTCGATTCTCTTCTTCCTCCTCCTCCTCCTCCTCCTACTCTATCTCGTCGTCGTTATTTTGAAGATTTAATGCCGATCGTTATAATTATCTACGTCGGCTCGCGATTCGCGTTTCTGAAAGTTATTCGCATATTGATCGCTCTTTGAGTTGCGACAAGAAGGAAAGGAAGAGGAGATGGTATCTCGCTACTGTTACTCTCGGTAAAACCAGGATTCGACTGAAGCCTCAATCGGATGGTGGGCGCTTCCACGTCACCTTTGTTCTCTCAATCGCGTTCTCATAGCTGCAAACACTTACGAACTCGAGGACAATTTCGCTCACCGATCTTCTTCCGCGGTTCCTCGAGGACCGCAGAGAAATGACGACGCGCTTGTTGCGCGTAGATGAAGAATCCAACGAGCGCGGCTTCTTCGAGCATCTCTCGTTCTCTAATGGAAGTACTCTGCCTCGATGAGCAAGCATGTCGCACGCGCGCGGCGCATACATACACACACACATACACACACACACACACACACACACACATACAGAACCCTTGTGTGTACGCATACCCACCGTCACGAAGCAACACCCTCTCCTCAGTGCGCAGTGAGGCGCACCACGAGAGGCAGACAAGGACGGTGCATGCGCTCGCAGCATCCGCATGGACCAAAATGGCCGGCAGTTTGCGCAGCGATTGGTCGAACAGACTCGGAGGAGGCGTGGAGAACGCTCTCTCCACGACCGTTAATCGGTCGACGATAAAAATAAAGATCTCCCGTGAAAGCAGCAAGTAGCGGGGAGACGTGACGCGCGAGTGGGGCGAAATGTGGGGTGCACACCGCGCTCGTAGGTGCGTCTGGTAGGGCGAGATTGCGCGACGGTGGGGTAAAACCGCGATTGGTGGGGCGAAAGGCTTTTTTATGGATCATACCGCTGTCTCTCTCTCTCTCTCTCTCTTCCTCTCTCTCTCTCTCTCTCCCCCCCTCTCTCTCTCTCTCTCCCTCTCTCTCTCTCTTTCTCGGGTCGCGGTCACGCGCGTATTCTGTGCCTGTATACGTGTGTCATCATGTATATACAGAACACTCTACGTGTATGTGTATACACGCACATATATACGTGTTATATACATATATGAACGTCACATGCGCGTACGTATCGGCGTGTAAGTATCGCGCGAGCGCGCATGCACGCTCGGCGATCGTCATTAAGGGAGATGCTAATTGGTGGCAAAGCGAGGTCAGGTCGAAAGCCCGCGCCGAGTCCAGAGACTTTACGTGTTTTTGTTCCGTTCTCTCTCTCTCTCTCTCTCTCTCTCTCTCTCTCTCTCTCTCTCTCTCTCTCTCTCTCTCTCTCTCTCTCTCTCTCTCTCTCTCTCTCTCTCTCTCTCTCTCTCTCCCTCTCTCTCTCTCCCCTCTCTCTCTCTCTCTCTCTCTCTCTCTCTGCCCCCCCTCTCTCTACCCCTCTCTCTCTCCCTCTCTCTCCCCCTCCCCCCCTCTCTCTCTCTTCTCTCTCTCTCTCCCTTTCCTTTCGCTCTCTCCTCTTCCCCTCTCTCTCTCTACCCACGGCCGCTCTCCCCCAGCTCTCACTCTCTTTTCCCCTTCCCCTCTCTCTCTCTCTCTCTCTCTCTCCCCCCCCCCTCTCTCTCTCTCTCTTTCTCCCTTTCTCGCCCTGTGTCCGCTTTTCAATGTGTGCGCACTGCTGTGTTTGACGGAAGTTCTGCAAATACGTAATCTCGCGAACGCTTGATTTAGCCATCCGCTATTGACATCTACGGCTCACATAGTAACAGATACATATATAAATAAATAACGAATTGCGGCAAAATCGTTGGACTTATGTCACTTATTCAAGTGTCTTAATGACCCTCGTGTATGAAGCGAAATTCTAACATTAGGGAGTGAATTATAAAAATATATCGATCGAGCCTTACCCCTTTGGCAATATTATTTTCTCTATTTTGAATCCATAATACAGGGATTGTATGCATTTTTTTATCTTTTCCATTTATATGCATATTTGTAATATTTGTTGGTGTTCTTTTGACGCAACAATATATATAAAGAAGAATCGCGCGAGGTCGTCTTTTAAAATTTCCCCTATAAGTTTTACAAAAGTTGCGCAATAAGTTAAGCGTTCGTCCTATTTTTCAATAATGTAGGATATTGACTCTTCTCCCGCTAAACCGTTCCTTCTCGTATTCTTGTCAAGATACTCGCCATTGTGAAGAAGTATCTTGAAGAGGAACCATATATCATGTATTTGCGACAACGTCTGCCTCCCATAACAACACATATACAGGATGTTCCAAGCATTGCATAACTTTTCTCCGTGCGAACTCTTGCCAGAGTTCAGAATGTACCTTTTTGAAAAAAAAATTGATCAAATTAGATAAATAACCCTCTTCAATTGTTTATTTAATAATTGTCAACATTAAGTATCTACCTAAGGCCCCAAAATTAAAAGTTTCTGTCGAAACAGGATTCGCTTGAAATTAGATAAGTTGCCAGATTTCCTGATGTCTGTTTACACCGAGAGAGCGTAATTGTTTGTCGCTTGTGCGAAACTCGAAAATAACTCACAACCTGAAAGAGACATTGCTCTTCGAACTTATCTTCCGGTGTCTCCATATGGAAAAGTACATTGTGCCTGAAGCAACCTGTACGGATGCGTTACATGAGAATAAACGTGACCCTTTCTGCGCGACGGAGCCAGGCAACGTATATCCCAACTTTCTTTGTACGATCTACTTCACCGCTGAAATATAAGTGCTCCCCTTTCCTCTTACGCTATGTCGACACGATACTATGTGCGTTTGTACACGATACATTGAACCGGAAATGAACGAGCTCGCATTTCATCTCGCCTAAATATTACGTTGCTCCGCGCTAATTCGCGCGATGGAGGACGAACAACGCAGGCAAATAAAAAAGTAAAGACGGTGAAATATTAATAAATTACGCGCGGCGCACGGCTGTGATATGATAAAATTGCAAATCTTTACTCCATGGTTAATAGTAGATGCTCGTAAAAGTACGACATTACAACTATTTTTATTTATCAATAACAATGAGATGACATATAATATCTTTATCAAAATATTAGTTGTTACTATGAATAATTTTTGCCATCTTTCGGGCGTCACGAAACCTGGCAACTTATTTAATTTCAAGCGAATCTTGTTTCAACAGAAACTTTTAATTTTTGGAACTAGGGTAGATATTTAATGGTGACATTTAAGTAAACAATTGTAAAGGATTGTCTAATAGTTTGATCCTCGTGTCGATAAAATGACTCATCTTTTGAGACAATCCATTTATCCGCTCATTTTCGTACTTACTCATCATTTGGGTATTTCATCATGTATTAGATAGATCATCCTGCATCGATCTGAATAAATGAAAACCAGACAAGGTGATATTTAGTAAGTACGTTAGGTGCGGCAGGACTTTTCAATCTAACTCAAACAACGTCTCTTTAATCAATATTAATTTAAGCAATATGCGATTTGACGTTATCGTGAAGTAGGATGATTGTATCGATAACTCGATTCGCGGCTACTTGAGAGCTTTTTTTTCATGGATTAGTTCAAATGTCAATAATTGTTGACTGCAATGATCTCCTGTGACTGTTTGCTCCGCTGATAATAGTTCGTAGCAAAGCACTCCTTTACTGAGTATATAGAAGAATCTTATGATCATGAATGTTACGTTCTGTTGTGAATATGACTGGAATCAATCCAGGACATTTTAGAGTTGTCAAAATAGATCCACTTTTCATCATCCGTATTATTCTCTACTCCCTCTCTTTTTTGTACCTGGCATGCGATGAAAGACAAATCATAAGCCGATTTGCAATCACACTTGCAGGTCATGATCGCATTCATAGTTCATGGCGAAGTCATCATCCCTCTTTCTGGATCTTTTTCGTTGCTTTCAAATGGCGCGATCTGTTGATTCATCAATTTCAAAATGTTCTACAAATTTTTTAAATGTTTAAGTCGAGTTTTCAGCAGGCAGTACTTCCAATTTGTTGCTTTTCGTCTCATCCGGATAATCAAAATATGGCTTGTCGTTGACATCGTAATTACCATTTCCAAAACTTTTTTTTCACTTATTTTGTTACTGCAGCAATTTCATATTCGTTAAAATGGCAAAGCATGCAGTCGCGAAGATAAACTTTAGTTTCTATCGCATTAAACGTAACGTTTTGTTCGGAACTATTATGATATAAATTGCCAACCATCGATTCTGATCAAATATCGCCAACATTTCAAAACTGCAAAGCAATTTAAAGGAAAACAATTACCAAGTCGCTGTTAGAGCCATCTATTTGTGATCTTATGAATCTTTGCAAACTTCTAATATAACATGTACTCGCATTATATATCATATATGTTTGATGCACGACGTCTACAAAGAAATGTATCAAAATAGGAAACAATCGCGGCATTGAATTATAAGAAATAAATGAAATTTGCCTGAGACTCCGTGAGAGATTCGAAGTCATATTTTAACTAGAAAGACGAGATATCGCGAGCAAATAAAGGCAGAAATTACATGATACATCGGTAAGCGCGGGATTAATGTTTAATGATGCTCTGAAAATTAATATTTCACTATCTGCACGACAGATATCTCGGATATGCCGGTCGTACGGATTGTGTGTTCTCTTTGTGCGATTTACTCCGGGCCTGGAACCGCATATATTTCGCTTCTTTTTCCAAATACGTGTTTGGATGTGTTTCCATATACGCAAACCGCTACTTGGCTTGTCGGATACAATGCACTCTCTCAAGAAGGAATAGTCGATTCTTCTTCCCGGCCCTGAACATGTTTTTATTCGAGAAAGAAGAAATGTGAGAAATGTGCAACCATTAAGGAAAAATATCGCGATTGTTATAATCTTATTCGCAAACAAGAATATATTGAAAAATTAACCTGCAGACTAATATGCAGACGGGCCATTGTGGCTTTTAAAATTTCCCCGAGCGAAAAGGACGCTCGTTCTCTTCTCTCTCTCTCTCTCTCTCTCTCTCTCTCTCTCTCTCTCTCTCTCTCTCTCTCTCTCTCTCTCTCTCTCTCTCTCTCTCTCTCTCTCTCCCCCCTTTTTCTCTTTCTCTTCCCCTCTTTCTCGACTATAATTAAACAATCAATGCATACGACTTCTCGATTGCGAATAGCTCGCTTGATTAAAGTTTCGTCGAATCCTATATTTCACGATTGTTACGTTAATCCGTCCTGGTGAATGCGTTACATTTTACATTCGAGGAAAGTGGAACGATCGGATTTCACGGCGAGTCTCGAGATTCACAAAAGATTCGCTTTTCGACGCAAACTCGAACTCAAAGGTTCAAAGGTCGCGGAGAAATGTCGACCGACAGTCCTGCATCACTCTATTCCTTCTGGCCGTCTGCCGATCTCTCTATCTTTTTCTCTCTCCCTCTTTCTCTCTCTCTCTCTACCATGAGTCGGAACGGGGATCAATTGTTGTTTGTTTGTATTTGCCATGAGAGTATCCTGTCTGCGTCTAGTGAGATGCATCGACATTGTGAAAGGCGGGCGGAGTAGGTTGGGGATGCTCGGGTGTGTGTATCGTATTCTCCATTCTACGGTGCGTACAGTGCGTGCGGTTGAAAGGGGCGAAGAGGGGGGAGGGGGGAGGGGAGGGGGCAAAGGCAACGCTCTGCTACCAGCCCGAAAATTGAATGTCACTCGGAGAAGAAATGTCACAATATATTCACGCGCGTCTGCGAGCGGGGGCTATTTTATAACATCGCGTTTCGTCTTGTCTCGTCCTATCTTGTCTGCTCCAAAATCTATTATGCTTTTTGTTACGCGATAGTTTTTTTTTTTCTTTTTTTTACAGTGGCACAAACGGTAACAGCGATCGAAACGACATGTCTGAAATTCGTTTCCCGTGTCCGATGATTTTCTCTGACATGTTGACTGCTGATATGTCACCGATCCATGTCACACATGTCCGACTCGTTTAAAATGAGAACTCCATGAATATCTCTGAATGTTATTTAACGTACACATTGTTAAGACCTTCGTTGCTCCTCGAGGAAAGTAAATTTTTCCAAACTCATGTCCAGCCCAGGGAATTTCGCTTCTGAATTCGAGCCGTGCAGCCAACGTGTTACGCCGCGCGTCTCAACTCGTCCTCGTCTTCGAGTCTTAATGATGACGATTATCCCCGCGGAAAGATGTACTCGTCGATCGTCGAGTTGATCGTTCGAAGTGCAAACGCTAAGGTGACGGCATTCTAGCGGTCGTCTAATAATAACGTTCGCGCGGATTCGCATCTCGTTGACCGAGAAATCCTTTCGGCATCTGCCGGAGGCTGCCAATTGGTGCGCCTTTTCTGAAAAAGCGTGTCACAGAAGGACACGAGGTCGCCGCCGCCGTAATCCGACGCCCGAATGTTTGACAGAATAATTTTCACGTTAGCGGGGTGCATTATGCGCCTTTATGCTCGCGCCTAGCCCCGGCCATTGTCGCCGAAATAAGCCGTATCCCACACTGCGTGCGCCGATTCTGAGTCGGCCTTTTATGCGCTTTCGCACGTATACAGTCGTTCCGTAGCAGCGAACGGGAGGGGAACCTGATAGGAACCGTACATTATTGCGAGTAGAAGCTTAAATTTTATCCCTCACCTATTCCGCGCACTCTCGTCGAACTCTCCTTCTTATCGCTTTAATAACTTTATCAACGCGTTAATCCTTGCGCGACTTTTCGAAGCTCCAGACGCCGACTTGAAGTATCGTCCTCCTTCGATACAAGCGGCACAATTCTCTCTCCCTTGAGCTTGATTGCAAGTATGTGATAATTGACGTGAAGGGAATCGCACGGAAGGGATCGCGAAGCGTATAGTCAAACGTCTCTCTTTTGAGAGACGCCCCGTTGTAAGAAGATACGGTACAATGTCAACCACGAGGAGGAGGTACAGCACGATCGGGCCTCTCAGGTCTGTCACTCGACACCAAATCAGACAGAATCTGTCAGAAATCTGTCATCCGGTCACAAAGCAAGCCGAGCCCTCTTTTCGGGGTTTTATCCATACGCTGAAATCAGACCGGACAATGAAAGGCGAGGAGGGCGCGGGAGAGAGGAAGAAGAGAACAGGAGAGAGAAGGCGGACGGCTTCCTCGAGGTCGCGTATCGGTATGTAAGTAGATGAGGAGAATCCCTCCCTCCCTCCCTCTCTCTCTCTCTCTCTCTCTCTCCCCCTCTCTCTCTCTCTCTCTCTCTTTCTGTCTCTCCCTCGCCACCTATATTTGACACCTTTCAGTCCAATAAAATAAAACGATCCACGATGGAATGTAGTCGCTGCTTCTCTCGAGGCCGCAGAGCCCCAAGAAGAAGCGCCGTTGCTCCGCCGGATGTGGAGTGTTCCCGCGGACGATCCGGGGTTTCCTCCGCCTGAGAGACTCAGCGATCGCATCTCATATGCTGATAAGAGGTTCCCGCGTCCGCCTCGTCGTCGAGAAGGTAGCCTCGTCCGATTGATCGGACCAACGATCATCAGGGGACTCTCACGCGGCTACGAGGAACCAAGCCAGCCCTCGATGAGACCCTCGAAATTTGTCACGAGTCGGCCGCGATGACGCGACTCCGGCGCGACCCGTCGCGGATTTCCAAGAGAGACTCGACGAATGACTCGACAAAAAACTCACGCGCGGCATTTACATTCGGCCTTAATCCGATAGGCATCGTTCCTCCAGATGTTCGGGCCAAGGGGTGGGGGCAGCGAAGGGTGGGGACGGGGGGACTTGTTTGTATTGAGATGCGTGGGGCGAGATATATAATCTAGTCAATTTGACACCCTCATCGACGTCCTAATGGGTGCTTTCAACTCCGGACAAGCCAGTTACAGTTCTCTCTCTCTCTCTCTCTCTCTCTCTCTCTCTCTCTCTCTCTCTCTCTCTCTCTCTCTCTCTCTCTCTCTCTCTCTCTCTCTCTCTCTCTCTCTCTCTCTCTCTCTCTCTCTCTCTCTCTCTCTCCCTCCCTCCCTCCCTCCCTCTCCTTCCCTCCCTCTCTCTTTCTCGGCAAATGCTCGTGCCCGCTCGCCCGTTAATCTCGATAGTTTATGAGAGATTTATCGATTGTTTGAGTGGATTGATTGGGAATTTATTGATTGTCGCTTCCCTTCTCGGGCGGTTTACAAGAATCTATGAGCGCCTTCGTGTCGAGCCCGATACGTTTCAACAAATCGCAGACTAACCCGCGAAATGATACAGTCTTCGCATGTAAATTCGCTGTACAATGGAACATTTAAACCATTAGCGTAATTCGATTATATATAATATGTAATATCGTTATGGAGATCATTGGACACGTGACCGAGCGATTTGATAAAGCAGATCGGGTACGCGTTACACCCTTTCGCCGTAATAAAATCTCGTAACGCTCGCGGACGGGGAGACAGATGAGACAGGCGATGAGGTATTCTTCCTTTAAGATTTCAATTCTTCCTTCTCGGGATTGGTTACTAGCGCAGTCGGTATTGTATGCAATGACACTTCCATGTATTTTTTCGTTGGCATAAATCTGCAAATGAGACAATGACACATATATGAGTTATAAACGGAGAAGTGACTCGACTGATCGAATTTGAATATTCAGAGTTGTGTTGAACTCGGTGAAGCAACTAGATATCAAGTGTACATTTTAAACGAACTTTACGATTTTTCTAAAACATTTTGTAAACGTTCGTTTCTTCAGACCTTGAGAAAAGAGTTAAATGGGAAAAGTATCTTAATACATTCCGAATAAAATCCTAGCCGATACCTGGTGACAAATGGCGGGAAATGATCTCGGTCGATGTCACCCAAGTCAGGCGCGCCGCAGATGAAGCTGACTATTGTGCCAATCACCATTACAATCAAAGCCCCCAACAGCGTGTAATACATGAAGGATATCCTGTATATGAAGAAGGGCTCATCCGCAGGTTCGATCTGCACTGGATTCTGTGTGGTGGTACTGGTAGTGATAATCGTCGTCATCGTTTGGTTGAACAGACTTGCGGGCGCATGCAGGCAACCTTCGGTCGTGGTGGGAAGCGACGGATAAGAGAAATGATGATTGACCATGTGCCATTGCGCGCCGACAATGATCCACATCATCATTATCATGGAGACCAAGCCGCCGCTTACCGCGCCCTTGGTCGTCGCCCAAGGCACCAACATCCCCAACGAGAATAGGCCGAGCATAGTGCCGGCAGTGATACCGGTCACGGTCAGAGACAACTGGAAGATATCACCCAAGCGGTCCACGAGAAACACCATACCGACGCATAGGAAGCCTAAAATAACCACCGTCACCTGGAAAACGAGATAAACCGTTCTGGAACATTGGAACCGTCTGACACTTCGGGTCTACGAAGTCTGAGATGAAGTTTCCGTCGATAATTACACGGAAAAAACGTCTCGTTCCGTAGAATTGTATGGCTATAAATAACTATCTGACAAGAACAAAGATTGGTCGGAGAACCGCTGACAACTCGGTAAAGCCAAATATGACAGTTCTCTTACGACAATATTAATTACCTCGTTATCTGAGGTTCGAACACGGTTAAGATAAGCTGAAAATGTCTGAATAGAAATTTCCTTTTTTTCCAACATGGGTTTTCAACAATATTTAGCCCACTAGCGGATCCTGATGTCGATGATGGGGGGGGAAGAGGGGGTTTAATAAAATTGTAAATACAATAATGCTGTAGTTTTGAGGTTTTTTATAATCATCAATAGGCTCTCAGCAAACAACAGCGGATATTGTATATCAGAAATCGGACAGTTTGGATGCAGTGAATCCTAGACATAAGAATTTGATTCACGGGCGCCTGTGTTAATCGGCCTGTATCATGTTACCTAAATTTTTTAAACGGATCTAGTAAGACTGATTTCTTTTAATTTGGAAGGGGGGGAAGTTTAACTCCAAAACCCCCCTTTAGAATCCGCCAGTGATCTAGCCCCAAGATAACAAATAACCATTCATATGAACCGAGCCGTTTTACTTTGTTTTGCTCTACGTTTTAATTCGTTCGACAAATCTTAACAATATCGTATTACGAGCGATGAGCGACGAGGAAAAGGTTTCCACCGAGAGTGAAACCTTTGTTTTCTCTGCGGTTTCGGACCGTAATATATTCCGCGCGTGGTTGCCTTTGTACCTTCATAATGTTGGCGGCTTTGGTCTCTTTGTCATTGCTCTCTGGCATCCAGGGATCGATGAAATCCTCGTAAATCGTGCCGGTGACTGTGTTCAACCCGGCGCTCATCGTCGAGAGACCAGCGCTCACCAGGCCGGCGAGAAAGAGGCCAGGAAGTCCCGGAACGTTCGCGGCTACGTCTAGCACGTAATACGGCAATATCTTGTCGCTTCTTGCTACAACCTGGAAGCAAATTAATTCCTTTACAGGAGTCCTCGCCACCCTTCTCAACACCACACCCCCGTTTTCGCGAGACGCTCGGATTTCGTTTAATCCTCAATTACCCGACTTCTTAATCTCATTTTAATTACGCTTATGATTCACTCTTTCTACGATATGTAGGGATCGTTAAAAGAAAAATAGGGAGGGATGGTTGGAAGTGTGGGAAAAGGATAAATAAATATTTTATTCTATCCCACGGTGGAATCTCTTAGAATACAAGCGGAAAGAGAAATATTGGGAGCAAGAGAAATAAAAAGGCTAATGGATGTATACATAGTCCCATTTTAATCAACATACTTGAATTTCTTGGAAACCATACGAGATATCGAAATTCATTTTTTTCTACGAAGTTGTATGGTATCAAAGTGGTCAGACTATGTAACAAATGAAGAGCTTCTAAAGAGGAGTGATTAAAAAGAAATAACGAAAGAAGTCAAGCGTAGGAGATGGCGGTGAATAGATTATATGCTTAGAAGAGACGGCGATAACATAACCAAACAGGCGCTCGAATGGAACCCGCAGGGCAGCAGACGCAGGGGTGTGGAAACCACCAAACATGTGAAGAAGAACTGTGCTGCATAAAGCAGAACAGGCCGGAAAGTCATGGAATCAGATAAAACTCCTTACCAAAAGTAGAGATAAATGGTGAAATTTCCTAGAGGGCTCTATGCTCCACCTCGGACTGATAGGAACATATATATATATATATATATATATATATATATTCGTATCGAAAAGGACACATTTTGAGATAAAAAGATCTTGACCTTGAATGGAAGCGTCAAGCTCAAATTGAGATCAACTTCATTTTTAAAAATGGCAATATATTTTTTTAAATACCTACGTTTATAGCCCTTCTCGTTACAAGCTCAACGCAGCGTAACACAAAGTTGTTGAAAATAAAATTACCAAGTGCAAGTTTGGTAATATCGCTATATGCAAAGATGGCAACTTTTTCTTGTATGTGTTACATATATATATATATATACACACATATATATGGATATGGATATGGACATATATATGGATACATATATATATATATCCATTTATTTAAATGGACAGCAAATTTATTATATTCTAGGAAATAAGAGAGAAAGTAAGAGAAAGAGAGAAAGAAAAAGAAAAAAAGAGGAAGAGAAGCGAAAAAATATCATAAATATTTCCACACACACATACACATATCATGGCTATCGAAAGAGACTTACGTGCGCGGCTATGGGATCGCATTTGTGATACCTAGCGTACATTATGAGGCCGGTGAAAACGGACATTAGTTTTACGACCACTAGACCGACAGCCAGGAACCATATTGATCTGCGAAGGTTACGTGTATAAAAAATGGCTCTTTGTTTAAACATATAACGTGCACTTACTTTTGGGCTTCCTTGATATTTGGTACCGCCAAAAACCTTTGCATAGAGACTTGACTGATACCTAAAGATGCCAGCCATGTCATCGTCAGTCCCACCGACATACCCCAAAATGAATTTCTAACGAAGGGACTCGGATTCATGCTGTTGTTATATAGAAAAAAAAAATATCACACATGTAATCGAATGAGGACCAGACGAAAATTTATTAACGAGAAATAACATCCCTGTTACCGCCACCGAAGACACACGTTTGAACATTTGGCTGTGTTGAAAGTCAATCGATATAACTGAGAACGAATGAACTGAATAGAGATCATGAAACTGAATAGAAATAGAAATTGAGTTATTACGCAATATGGAATTCATCGTTACTTTCAATGAGCCGATTGCCCTCGTGTTTTATGTGACGCAACGAACGACCGAATTTCTTTAGCTTAAGCCGCGTTATAAACGGTGACGTAAGGAGTGCAACCGCGCTTACTTCCAGAATACGATTCTACTGCCCTCCTGGGCGATTCTCCACGTCTCGCCGACGCCGCCCACGGCGATGGTCCCCAGGATCAAAACGGCAATGAGACTTCCAACAGTCACCGTCATCTGAACCGTATCCGCCCATACGACAGCCTTCAGACCTCCCTATAAATTTCCAAAGAGAGATTATTCGCGCACAATGAAGGTATCAGTGTCACTCACGGCGCAACGTACATTGAATCAAACGGCACGTTATGATCGGACTCGGCGAAACGTAAATCTGAGGGGAGAGGCATAGGAGGAGGAAGATACACGCGCGATTGTGTCGAGACGGGGTCGTGTCGCCTCACAATACGAAACTCATTATCTATTCTAAATCTACCATCTTTTAGCTGCGCGCATATATATATATATATATACACATATATTAATATTATTATTTGTCAATCTATTATATTTGTTATCTCTGTGTATATGTGCATGCGTATATCCAGTTGTTATACAAAATAGGGTATTTAAATTGAGATGTTTAAATATTTAAAAAATAAACCAAAATGAAAAGAAATATTTTGGAAAAAGATTTGCATATGTTAAGTCTAGTGAACGGATAGGCCAAGAAACTGCTTTTTTTCGTCCTATCTACCTATTATTGTAATAAATTTTCCTATTATTACAAATAAATTGAAAAATATCTTGATTTGATAATGATGATGATAATGGTGATTTGAAAATAATCTTGACAATAATAATAATAATAATAATAAATTGATTTGATAATGATAATAATAATGATTTGAAAATGATCTGGATAATAATAAATTCTGTCTTCCATCATTTAATTTCCAATGACCTTCGTTCCAATGACCTTCTCTTTGAAACATTTCCAATTTGCTTTATTTTTATATTTTTATATATCCGGGATTTTTTGGAAGCGAAAAATTTTGAAGATTAATCAGATCAAACTGAAAAGAAAAGTCAAGTATCATTTTGCAAATAAGTACGCAAATTTTCAAGTTATCAGTTAAAAAAGCTTCTACATATAATTTTCAATCATTGATAACTTAATAATTATTGCAATTTTTGCAAAATGGTATTTGACTTTTCTTCTCAGTTTGATCTGATTAATCTTCACAATTTTTCGTTTCCAAAAGATCCCGGACACCTTGTATCTTAAGGTGTCTCAATTAAAATGTCCCATTCTATATATTAATTTTATCACACAAATGCCGAGCAGCAGTGACTTTTACGCTTCGTAAACCTCCACAACTAATTATTCATCGCCAGCACGTGTATTTTTTGGAAAATCATCGTCGATTAAAATTTCATTAACTAAACATTAATATCGTTATTATGCGTCGAACTATCAAGTAGGATACAACGCATTTCCCCTTTGCAATCTCTGAAGTGATATTGGAGAAAGTTATCTCGAACTATGGTGGAAGCGCACCCTGCATACCTGTCTTCATTTTCCACAACATGCTCTACCCGGCGTACTATTGTCCAAACAAAACGCAAGTTCCGGGAAAATAACGGCGAATCTCATCATTGTTTTCGTGTACCTTCTTATTGTTGAAGTGACGCGGCAATGCAGCGGGTTATTGTGGTGTCAGTGCACGTACCGCGCGATGCTGCATATCGTAAATATAACCGGCGGGATGTGAAACTGATAAGGCCACAGTCACGTTCGCGAAATAATTCCAGTCTAAACAAAACGCTTTTTTATTCGATAGCCGTCACGGTAGTTGTCCCATGTACACATGATCGTACAAAAATTGCGACGCGATGTTCTCCGAAACGAGAAGTCAAACCTCGCGGATCGAAAAACTTGTTCAAGCTCGAAAGTACGTATCTTCGATCTCCTGTATTATCGACGGTGAGCCAGCGGTGAAAAAGTCATGACCCTTTGTTCACTTCGATAGACGGATGAGAATCGGCCAAGCGGCTACCTCGTGATCTCCCCTATTTCTACGAAACACCGAGAAATACCGATGTGTTTTTATTTAAATATATCGCGACATCTGATAATGACACCGCACGATAACGTGACTACTTCGTTTCGACGACCTCTCGGCTTTCGAAGTTGATCTGCATACGATTATACGATCTCTACGACTCAGTAAATCTCTCTTTCAATATGCAGCACGTGCGAATGCCAGCAGACGATCACTTTATCAGCTTGACGTCTTAACATAGCGCAATTGAGCGTACAAACGCTGCCGCTGCGTGCTTAGCCCTTTAGCTAATGATGAAAGTACACGCAGAAAGAAAGGTGGACCAAACTGTTAATGATGAAAATATCCGTGGAAAGAAAAGTGGCCTAAACTGTTGATGACAAAAATATCTGCATATTCTAGAAAAAAAATCAAAAAAATACTTATAATGAAACAATTGGAACAAGACACTAGATTTTCATGTTTTGGGGTCATTAAATTCAAATCTGAGGTTAAAACTGAGTCAAACGACTTTTTTTTATTTTCGGTATATTAGATCCGCCATTTTGAATTTCGCAATTTTCATCTACAATTTGAGCCACTTTTTTTCCGCGGATATTTCCGTCATTAACAGCTAAGGGGTTGATGATATATTTGCGGACTTTTTTGTCATTCAGTTTTTAGTTTCGTGAAAAGAAAAATCAAGACAATTAGGACATCTTTTTACTTACTATTGTCGTGTAAAAAATGCACACCATGCATATCACCGGCGCGACGAAGTGCAGATTCATACCGGTCGCCTGCGAGAATGCCAACGCCGGCACGTAGATGATCAACGGCACGTAAACGACCAGCGAGAGGGTGTAAAGAAACGATGCCAATTGCCGCACCGGCCTAGCGAACCGCATCTCCAAGTATTCGAAGGTGCTGGTGAGTTGCAGCTTGTAGAATACTGGCAGGTATATCCATACGATCATGGAGCATGTTAGGAAAGACGTAAAAACGCACGCCGCGTATTGCGTCCCGTACTGATACACCTCGGAGGGCACCCCGAGCAACGACACCCCCGATATGTGGCTGAAACGGATTTAGTTCACGTTATAAATGAGACTTTCTCATTTAACTCGCATTTTTTATATCACATCAATATATCCATTGGATATATTGATTCAAGGTTAATCTTCGAGTTATTTATTCGAGCAACTTTTTATTCCTTCCTTAAGATTTTTATTCTTTCTTAACCCTTAAAAGCCATCATCGAAGAAAATCACGTGAATGCTATCATGGGTGAGAAAAATTTCACCCCACACAGTATATTTGTTATTTTAAAAATTGGAAAGTCAAACAAATGCAATATTAAATGTTTTATCATTATTAGTTAAATGTTTTATTATTATTTGATATATTAGTTTAATGTTTTATTATTATTGGATTATTAGTTAAATGTTTTATCATTATTGGATATAGATGAAAAGTAGAGAAGCTATTGTTTGTAGCGGATAAAATAACATTTAATAAGATCAGAACAAAATATATTCGCATGAAATTTCATCCATGGCAATCTTTAGAGATTAAGAGCTCTTTCATAAAGAGAGTGAAAAGAATATTTACTTCATTTTGCTCAAGCAGAATAAATATTAATCATTTAATCGGATCAATCTATTTGCCCATCTAATCGAATCGGTCTTTAATCTAATCAACACCAAAGTGGTATATCAAGGCTTAAATGCTTGTTCCAATCAAATGTTAAATCATTTCTTCGTGAATTAATTCAAGAATTAATTCCGTTACTCTTGGACAATAAAGATTACGGTGTCACCGTAAAAATGAAGCACGAAATGCGATATCACCTTGCTATTAAGCTCATGCTGATCGGCACGAAGGACATGGTCTTGCCGCCGAGCAGGTACTCGGTGGTGTTGTCCTGCTTCGTGCTAAAGAAACCGAAATAGACGCCGATGAGCACGCTGACGCCCAGTAGACCGCCAAAAAGAGTGTAATCGGTCCATCCGAAGCTCAGCTCCTTCAGCTCATAGCCCGCAAAAAATGAATCCGTGCAGTTGATCGTCATTCTAGACTCGTTGGTCTGGATTCGAGGGATCGCCGTAATTGAGTTGCGCTTTTCAAAAATTCGTGTAAAACCACGATACGCTTCGGAAGATCGATCTCGCGCGCGCGCGCGCGCGCACGCGATCGTACCAATGAAGTGGTAAATTCAGAAACGATGACCGCGGGTCATCGGGAGAAGTCTCGCGGATATCGATTGTCGCACTTACGTGTTTCGATTACTTCCTGCCTTGTTCGTCCGACACGCCAGTTTGGCATTTACATCGAAACAGTCGTCCGTAACGGCGCGCGATGTGATTTCGGAAAGGTGCCGTTTACGCACCCACGATCTAATCATGCACAGGTTTGACGGGGCGGGCTCGTAGGAATTTGGAAAAGTACCCGACGAAATCTGCATACCCACTGACAATGATGACATGCCATGCAACGCTATATGTTCGGCCGATATTCAGCATGGTGTCAGTCTGATTTACGGCAGACAGATAAAGCGATGCGACACGCAAAGTTTCCGCAAATAGACGGAAATCTTTAAATAGGCGCCTTCGCCGCTGCACTCCGTTGCTAAATTTAATTTCATAACCGATATCACCGGGTGCCTGTTTGCCAAAAATTTTGCGCGAATTTTCGTCGGTCGTATATCCTTCGCGATAACGTGACAACGTCAACGACGACGACGACAGTAACGGTGTCGAAGTGTTCCTTAAGACATGACCTAGGGAAACCTGCGTTGACGAGAAACAAAAAATCAGAGAGACGCGCGATCGCTTTGCGTTCGCGACCAAATGTTTCCTCAGCGGAGATAATACTGATTCGCGATACGCGATACGACATATCCAAATACTTCACGTCGATTTCTCTTTATTCGGTATAACAGAGATTTAAAGGACAATAACTTGGTATACGTACGCGATATACATATATACACATTGGGATACTTATTCAATTATATATCTATATATGAAATTTTCTATGTATATAACATTTGTCTTTTTTATACACTAATAGTCGCCATATAATAACCATTCGGTTAATTGTTGCATTTTCTGTTGTCTCTCGCCAACACTGCACTTGCCTAACAATTTCTCTAAAAGTTGCACTTTGTCCGACTCGAGATTCTCCATAGGGTTCAAAGGACTGACTGTCATACTTGGCAAAGTGATATCGTAGTAAAGAAAGATCTGGAAAAATGAATATGCAATTGTCACTTTCGCTCATTGAGCAACATTAGTTGATTCATATGTATAGTGTACATGTAAGGAACCTTGTTGTTGAAGGTATTATACACTAAGCAGGGACTGGATGTTCCGGAATTAACGTTGTAATTTCCCGTACAGAAAGCTCTGACCGGTTCCTCGAATTGGAAGCGCACGCTGTGCCGTTGTTGGTCCAGAATATAAGTCTGACCATCCCAGGCGCAGGCGATTATCTCATCCGCGTTGTTGCCCGTGACGTCCAATCGGCACAAGGCAAATATCTGATGATCCACTTGCATAGCCCTGCAACAGAAAGAAAATCTGATATTTCTCGAATTATATATCCATATACTAAACTGTATATTTTTAAGTCAAAATCATTTTGAAAATCGAATTAAGTTTTTCAACTGACACAACATTCAAATATTGCGATGTAGTGCGATCGCTTACCACAAGATGATTTCATCCTGCACTAACATGATGGTCCCATCAAGCGTTGCTAACGCGTACGGCTTTCCTCTCGGAACGCTCTCGCCAGCGATTATATAGTTCATATCGTTGCCTTCCTTGTCACATTGTTTCACATTAGCGGTATTGTCATTATTATTGCTATTATTACTATTGTTAACATTGCCAGTAATATTGCCATTATTGCAAGAGAAATCCTTGAAAGTCGGCAACACTGAATCTTTCGTCTTTTTATTTTCGAAACCGCCCAGAATAACATTTCCACCGACGAAATTACCATCCACTTGATCAACGCCGGACGTGTCAGCAGTGCTGTAAAATCTGATCGTTCCCTGACTGTCCGCTCTAAATTCTCTACTAAATTCACCTGCCGTATTCGAGCTGTTCTTTCTGATCTCGGGTTGCGAATAGTTCCTTCGAAACTCGTGTCGCGACACGGGTTTGAAGGTTTTCATACCTAGCTGACTATCATCTACGAAACCTTGCTTCGGCAAGTTATCTTTAGGCTCGTAATTAGCGATTTTAGGCTCAAAAGTCGAGATAAACGGTACTGGTCCCGGCTCTAAATCACCAATGATCTCTGTTGAGATATTTTGATTGCGCATTCTAGATATCCCCAACGTCTGATAATCTACGCAGTTGGCCGCTACCTCGCTGTTCATTTCACAGGAACCATTCTCTATATGGCAATCATCAGGATTGCATTTAATTCGCATAAATGTACCACCAGGTTGCGCGACCAACAAAGTTGGTGTACCATCACCAGTATGCTAGACAAAAATTTTTGTATCAACATTTTTAAATTTCACATTTTATGTCATGTATACTTCATCTATATTATTATCGATATTGTGATTTACAATATACACATTGTGCATGTCAATTTGCCATACTTGCAGTGTAACTGTCCCTATTTGATTGGTGCACTCCCATTTATTCAAGCCTATCAATTTCCCTGTTCCTAAATCAGCATTACTTGACCATCTGTAAGATCTAACAACACGATCCGTTAGACCAAGAATCATCTCATTAGCGCCATCTTTGTCGACATCAGCTATCAATACTATCTTTGTGTTGGTCGGAATTCTTTGTATATGTACACATTCCATTTTCCCAGACAGTTCATTAATTTCATTCATATTGTCGATTTGTTCAGAGTTCTGAGAGTTTAATGTGTTAATTCCTACTCCAACATCTACAATATATATGTGATTTAATATAAAAGATTTTTACTTCTTACAAATTATATCTTTCCATATCTTGAAATTTGGTTTTACCAGAACTTCCTTTAAAGTTGTCTTGATCACATGAGTCTTTGCCGATATGTTGACCTATGGACATATTTGGGTTATTAGGATTGACAGACCTAGGACTATAAAATATGTGTGTCCATCCATCACCGCAGATCACTACAAGAGCATTACGTCCATAATTAAAAATATCACCAATTGCTACACTGGTTATGAGACCAAGACCTGTGATCTTTTGCCATAGTTCTGATCCCTATTATATAAAAATAAATATTAGCTCTAGAATAACTCTGGAATATAGTTTTAAGCGATATTACTATTTATTTAGAAAATAAAATATAAATGGTAGTTACTTTGAAAATATAAAGCTCTCCTTCAGCAGTACCCACAACCAATTCATTATCACCATCATTATCAACATCTCCTATTGTCAATCCATGTCTACATACAGTACCAGGCAAGTCCCACTGGAATCTTTTTACAAAACTAACAGCCCTCATGATTTAACTTCGTAGAATGCAATGGCTGCCACCTGCTTGGTGGCCAAACTATATATGTTGCTTTTGCTGTCACTAGACCAAGAGAGATTGGTCCAAAACTATTAGAATCTAAAGAATGTCCTGTGTGATCTCCTTCCAACCAACAATGTCCTTCTGGCACCTATATATTAAAAGTTTTTATTTTATTAAAAAATAAATAACAATGTATATAAAGTATTACTTCATTATTAATATTGCTATATATTTGATATCTAAATATAATTATGCATACTTGAAAAGCACTGGTTTTATATCCACGTCTGTCTACAATATCTCCAGAAAGGCCCACAACTCTTTTGATAAGTGTTTGGTTTGGTATTTTGGGAGATGTAACACATACTACATCACCACGTTGTATATCATGATTCCGCGCTGCCCAGCGATTTAAGAACACATAATCAGAATATCTTGCATCTGGATTTAATGCAGGCTGCATAGAGATTCCTTCTACTCTTGCTACATATCCCACTGTATCACAGAAAGCAATCCCAATTGGGATGCCTATCAAGATATTACGTACAAAACGTGTGATTCTCATCAGACTTCCTAAGAAAAAAATTTGCAATATATAAGTACTTTATTCATTTAGTCCAGCCCAGCAATATATATAAATAAATTGCCATTTATGCTGCTTATATTATTAATTTCCTTTAGAATACTAATACATAAATATAAATATCATATAACACTCGTTATGATTGTCACAGTATTATAATATATGTGAAATATTTTTAGGTTATACATCAATAAAATTTTGCTTTCAGTTCATCATGAATAACTTTATATTGTTAATAGATCATTGAAAATTTAAATTAAAATATTCTATGTGCATGGAACAGAACTTACCTTTTCTATTAAATAATAAAGGAAATAGAAATTCGAAAGAAATGCAGAAACAGATAAATTTGAGTTACAGTAAATTTAACATACTTAACCATCATGGAATTATGAGGTCGTAACTATCAGGACACAAATAATCGATTTTTCAATCAAAGAATCGATTACTTTCTTGATATACTTTCAATATTTATGTTTCTTTTTTCCCGACTATAAAATTTAATAAACTATAACTAGCAAAAATATAATGGTAAAATAGTTTAAGAAACATTTTACAGCACAGTCTTCAGTTTTTAGATATATTTCTGAATATAAAGCATATTTTTTTACATTGTTTACATTATATTTTTTTACATTGTTGCACGAATATAAATTGAGATCTGTCAAATGCTACAATCTTTAATAAATTTTATTAAGTAGTATCACATAATAAATATAAAATTATATACAAATACAATTATACAAGTACATTTATACCATGTGAAAACGCGAGTTTTTCCTTTCAATTACGTAGTACTACCACCGACGAGATATTATAAAGACTGGTGGTCTTACGGGATTTAGCACCAGAGAAATCTCGCTGTGCACTAGCGCCCTCTTAGGAATATCGTGGCCGGAATGTAAAACATAACTCAAAATAAACATGGATGGTAACAGATATGGAATAATGGGGAAAAAGTATCGGAAAGTTCTGTCTGAGTCATTTCTGTCCTGAGGAGGGAAATGAAGAAAACTAATACCTCGTCTACAATAGAAGTCGTAGAGTCGTAAGTCGTAAAAATTGACCAATCATAATTCGGTAAGAGAAAAATAATCGACCACGATTGGTCAATTTGTACGACTTACGACTCTGTGACTTCTATTGTAGACGAGGTATAATTGGTTTATTCTCTTATGTGTTATGTATTATGTATTATGCAAAAGCCTGTGCTCTTGCCCTATATCTCATCCTCCCCACTCTCGACTAGAGATCTGTTTTTATAGCTGCACTGCTGAACTAGTGCAATAAGTTAAAATGAGACCATCTTTTTTCTCACTCTAACTTATTGCACTAGTTCAGCAGTGCAGCTATAAAATACAAGTCCTATACCAGAGAGAAAGCTAAGAGCCGTATTCATAGTCCGGTCTTATACTTAAGATCGTCTTAAGTTCATCTTCAGATGCTGTATAGATCATTTCATTGGCTACAAAATATCTGAACGTGTACTCAAGACGGTCTTAAATATAAGATCTGACTATGAATACGACCCTGAGAGCGGTCAACACGACGTTTTCGGCGACACCGATTTTTCGCACTGGAAATGGGCGCCATCTGCATCCATTCTGAGAGGAGAACTACGATGCTACATCCACTTTTAGGTCTTGGTGGTAAAATCTGCATATGGTGGAAGTCCGTGCTACATCCACTTTCAGTCGGCTTATATCCGTGCTGCAACCATAGTTACTATCTCTATGCCAGACTATGCCCGAAGGTCTAAAAAGAGCGGGGGGGGGAGCAGGAAAAATAAAAGTACATATTAAATATTAAATCCTCTACATACATGTTGCCGTATCAAAGTCTCCTGTATAATAAACGATTTGATACGTCTGGAGACGCATGATGTATCGTTGCCCGCGTCCCGTTCCCTTCATCCTGCTTCTCAACTCAGCATCCGTCCGCTCTGGACATTCGATCGTGGCATTGATAGTGACCGTCGGTGAGCATTCGATCCGCTCGGAGGAGCACATGTTAAGCCAGCGGCACACGGTGCTTGTTTTCATGCTGGATTGCTTACTGGATGAAAATATTGCATTCTGATTGGTGCATTTCCATCCATCTTCGAAAATATACCAATCAGAACGCAATATTTTCATCCAGCAAGCAATCCAGCACGAAAAAAAGCACCGTGTGCTGCTGGCTTTAATTAACGCGACAAAACTCCGATTATAAATATCCCGCGAGTCGACGAAATATTTGAACTTTTAAAAAAAGCATCAATGAAAATCACGTTGATGTTGTCATGGGTGAAATCTCACCCTGGTATATATTTTCTTATTTTCGAAATAAAAGAAGCCAAACGAATGCAATTAAATGTTATTTATTATCATTGAATATTAGATGAAAAGTAGAAGAGTTATTGTCCGCAGCAGATAATCTAACATTTAATAAGAACGAGACAAAATTCGCATGAGATGAAATTCCACTCTTTAATGCCACGCTACTGTGACCTTTAATTATTCTCCGAAAACAGCGTTACAACAACTTTGACATTCTGTACAATTGCTAACACATTTGTTGTACAGTTGCTAACATATTTTCTAATCGTACACATTCCTCTTTAATTAACATAAAGCTAACAAATATCCGATGCTTCGACAGAATAATTTTCTTTATTTTCAGTAATCAATAAGTAGTAAATCAATGTCGCGTACAGTTGAAAGGCCTTCTCGCATTCCCCTCGTTGTCTCGGAACCTTCGAGAGTTATATATATGATTATTGTATACTTAACTTAATATTTTTAGAAATCTCAAATTCAAATTATTTCCTTTTTTAAGATATATATTATGTACATAACATAAGTTTTTATAATATATGTACATAAACTTTTAAAAGTAAAAATTATACAATACGTATTTAAAAGAAGTATCAAACTCAAATTATTTTTTATATTGTATATATGTGTACATAAGTTTTTACAAGTAAAACTTATAACTATAATAAAATTGCAACACTTTTCTACTGTACAAAAGAAGTGATATATTAGAACAGTAGCGCCAACTGAGAAACCTAACATATATATATATGATTATTGTATACTTAACTTAATATTTTTAGAAATCTCAAATTCAAATTATTTTCTTTTATAAGATATATATTATGTACATAACATAAGTTTTTATAATATATGTACATAAACTTTTAAAAGTAAAAATTATGTCGTGTTATAAAAATTTAACACGTTTGTTAATAGTGTCCAATATTTAAAAAAAATATATTTTTAAATATTATGTACATAACATAAGTTTTTATAAGTAAAACCTATCAAATTATTTTTTTTGTAAGATATATATGTACATAAACTTTTAAAAGTAAAAATTATATCGTGTTATAAAAATTCAACACGTTTGTTAATAGTGTCCAATATTAAAAAAAAATATATCTTTTTAAATATTATGTACATAACATAAGTTTTTATAAGTAAATAATTAATAAGTTTAATAAGTTGAAAATAACACAATACGTGTTGCGCTTGTACTTGGCGCCTTTTTTTACCTTTTTGTTTAAAAAGGTAAGTTTTATATAATATTAAATATACGTACGTTTCACGTATAACGTGATTGACTTGGAGTACTCCGTGCTCACGGTGTTTGTTATTCATAGCGACGCATTCATACTTTCCCTGATCTGTTACATCGGATTCGGTAATCTGCAAGGCACCTGAAAAATAAAATAAAATGCGATATTCTCGAACAGCGTTCCTCTCAGGATTTTCTTGTCCAAAGAAAGATCAATGATGCGATCGCAGATCTCGTGTATGTCATGTCAAAATAGAGACAGTTTGAATTCGGCGTAATATGATTCTTGGAACAGACGTAAATAAGTATTGTGAAGTTTGAAGCGAGTCTTTCACAGGCATGCTTTGAAAACACGAGTTGTTTTCATTTTCAGCTAACGGACGACGCAGGCATCAACACTGATCGGCAAGGTCAGCGACTGGTGGGGGGTAACCGTGCTTTCCCGATTGTTTGGTTTCGTACCCTTACATATGACTCCGTGATTGCGGAAAGGACATTGCGCCTCGGGCCGACGAACGACGCGCATACCGCGACGCAGAATAGTACGAGTGTCGGAATATCGCGGTTAATACGCGTTTCTTTGTCCCCGAATCTTACTTGCGCGAGTGTTAGAGCTAGAGTCAGTGTCGTCGCCAGTGCTACGATGGAGTATCCGGGGATGCTGCGACGGAGTAACCAGAAGGAGGACGTCGGATCGAGAAGTCAGGATGGAGAGAGGACTTGGAGCGCGCCGAGAGACGTAGCCGAGGACAGCGATACATCATATATGGTATTTGAGGTACCTCGAGTCATTATTATTACGCAGGATTTTTCTGATTTTAACGGACCTTACTCGAAGTAAGGACATACCCGAGTCGAAATTAGATCAGCATTCATAGTTTATCATCTGAAAAATGATAAAATAGCTTGAGATTTGATTATTCGTTAACCTAATTTCACGTAACATGAGTTGTACTTTTCTTTTCTCATAAAATATGAATGTCTATTCAAGCAAGGTTGCT